TCTCTCTCTCTCTCTCTCTCTCTCATCAAATGGTGTTTTTCATGAGGAAATCAATTGCTTTTTTATTTTTGATTATTAGATAAGTTTTTACCCCATATTTCCTGAACTGCTTTTGTTGTGAATGCAATTATACAGTAGTACACTATTAGGCAATTATGAAATATGTATTTATAATTACCGGTCTTTTCATACAATACAAAAGCAGTGAATGAATTATAAAATGAATTATTATTAGCCTCTGCTCTACGAGTAATGCTATTAATTCATTGAACGATACATTAAACGTAAATTATTTGAATTTTGATATTTAAAAAACATTGTTTCTAACGTTAGCCTATATTCAGGTCTCATGTTTACCGTAGATGTTGTTTATTATCTCATATGTTATCCATATTTTAATTGTTGACAATCATTAGTACCCATACTTTGATACCATTATATTATGAGTTATTCTTTTATAAAAATATCAATTTTTTAAATTTATTATGAAAATAACGCAAAAAACTATTCATTAAAAAAAGCATTTAATACCAGTCTATACCGGAATATGAATTGCATATTTAATACATTGAGTGTAATAGTGGTCACACGTTAGGCAATAGATTATGTATTTTAACAAATGTTTGCTTAAGAGCTTAAGACTCAAAATAATTCAGTCATTTTCCCTCCCCCTCCCCCATAATCTTTATATGTCAGTCATGTGTATGTAAAACTTAATGACATTTATTATTGTGTGTGTAATAGTTTTTATCATATGTTTCATACAATTATATCATATTTTATGATAAAAATATGTTTCCCTTCTCTCTATTGAATTGAAATGTTTGTTATTGTCTTCGAGAATATGTCATAAAACTATAATTTTATTACTTATCTAATATTATTGAGTTTTCTAATACTATTTATTGTTAACGATTGTGATATAAATATGTAGAGTATATTCTGCAGAGAATCGGACGACAATTATGAATAGAAAAAATATTATTTTTCAATTATCGTTACAATTGTGTGAACTCTGGTATTAATGCCAAATCAAAAGTTACGCAATATTTCAAACATATTTGTCAAACTTGTTGTAAACATTTGCTATTTATATATGAAAATTATGACTCGTATGAGAAGTGCTTCCCTTCTACTGTAGATGTAAACAATTTTAATGGTTTTTTGCTTTTAAATATTTATAGGGAAATGTTGGCGACTCGCGAGCCGTCGCCTCGTTTGGGGGTCGAGTGGACGCCCTGTCGTTGGATCACAAGCCCAGCAATGAGTTGGAGTCGAAGCGTATTTGCGCGGCCGGCGGTTGGGTTGAGTTCAACCGAGTGAACGGCAATTTAGCCCTTTCCAGAGCTTTGGGCGACTTTGTCTTCAAACGCAATGACAAGAAGTCAGCGCAGGAACAGATTGTCACCGCATTGCCCGACGTCCAGACCCGCGACGTGACCGACGAACTCGAGTTCATAATCATCGCCTGCGACGGCATTTGGGATGTGATGACCAACGAAGAAGTGGTGGCCTTTATTCGTATGCGAATCGCCGCCAAAATGGAGCCCCAATTGGTATTGCAATTAGTTTTCACTCAATTAATTGTATTTGTGTTTGTCTTTCACGTAATGATTACGCCATTTGTCATTAGATATGCGAAGAATTGATGACACGTTGTTTGGCGCCGGACTGTCAGATGGGAGGCCTGGGATGCGATAACATGACTGTTGTGCTCATCGCTCTCCTTCACGGCAAGACGTACGAAGATTTGGCCGACAAATGCGCCCTTCATTACAGCCATAAGGCCAACAACCGGTCACTACTGTCCCAATCGAGTTCGTCCACCACATCATCCATATCTTCAGACGACGACGACATCAACGCAAACATGGAGTCGATGGAGAAGTCGACGAACGGCGACCACGAGAACGGCTCCAACGACTCGTCCAAAGGCAACGAAGTCTACTCCAAACTCAGCGCATCGGCCAATGATAAGAGTCTGACAGTTGCGTGACTTTGATTAGTAGATGTAATTAACAAACAAACAAACAGTCATTAATATATATAGGCTTTTAGCGGCTGAAGAAGTTGAGCGATCATTGAAAATACATTTTTTATATTATTGATTATATCATGATTTATATATGATTTTTTAAAACTAATGAAAAAATATTGAATAACTCTTTTCCATTTGTTTAGATTGAAAAATTCGTTGACAACTAATCGTAATATAATTTGCCATTAGTTGTGAGACCAATGAATTGTTGCACAAAAAAATACAATTATTACATGAGAATTGAATTACATTTGTCACACACGACACACACTTTCGTATATCGATTATTAATCTATAAAAGTATTTCTTCATATCTATTGTCATTTATTATCTGAAAAGAATTTTTAAGCAAAAATTATAGCAAATGTTTTTTTAAATAATTTATAAATTTAATAGCTTTTTGACTACATATATGTATTGATTTATACATTCATTTAAATAACTAGTCATTCAAAGTAACAAATATTGTTTTTGTGTTTGTTTTTAATACAGAATTCTGTATATAATAATTCATTTGGAAATATTGTTAACAATACCATCAAAAATATAATTATTATGATTAAGTGTAGTCTGTATTTACATTTAATGTCAGCATTAAAACTGTAGATATGTTTGCATAATAAATAATTTCATTGTCTTATTACATGTTTAATAAAGCATTATGGTTAATTGCTTTTAAAATACGTTCAAATACATGCAAATTATTTGTAACAACACATAAGCCATTCTTATACCGGTCCCACAATTTGTTACTGTATAGTAATTTGTTTTTAGCGCACATTTCACTATGTATCGCTGTTAGATCAATGTCATAATTAATACTTAACGTAACATAATTTACATGACGTGATGTATAACACGATTTGAATTAAAAAATTGAAAATAAATATAAAAAGATGGTAAAAATATTTCAAAAAAAGAGAGTTGCGTCCGCGACAGGATTCGAACCTGCAATCTTCTGATTCGAAGTCAGACGCCTTATCCATTAGGCCACGCGGACTTATATAAACTCATTAACTCACAAAGGCCAACTATTCTATAAGTTAACTGGCTATTTAAGTCGTTCAATTGATATAACCATTATGATCGGATGTTAAACTATTGGATTAAATGAAATTAACTGTTAAATACATACCTCTCTATACGCGCAGCACTGATGGACTGTTGGCACCCACTGTGCGCCCAAACTAACTCAATAATAAATATTAAACAATCGTGCTTAACAATTTAATTTACCATGTTCGTAGATTATTACATTTAAAAGATGTAAGACTAAAAATGTGTTTAAATTAATTTATAGATATATTAATAATTGATGAAAAAATTAATGATGATTATAAAAATGAAAATATAAAACAATATGAATAAACTTTGAAAGTTGGGATAAAATTGTGATAAAAATTGAAGCATAAATTATATGCTGTATTTCATTCAAATAACTTTAACTCCGAGTTTATACACATCCGGAATATTCTTATAATATTTATCACACATAAAAAAGTTGTGCAAAAAACACATCTATTTATAGCGAAAAGGATGAAAGAGAGAGTAATTTGTATCACAAAAAACCTAATCAGCGAAAGCGCCTCACATTAGCTCTGATTCCTCCCAAAGTATCGATTCATCTCTTTATCGCTGTTTATATGAGAAAACTGTACACAAAATAAATATTGAAAACACAGATATTGTGACCAAATATCTGTGGCCAACAAAAAAGGTGTCAATTCAATGATTAGACCGATGAAGAAATGGTCAAAAAGTGGTCGCTGTATATGACGGCCAAACCGGGCCTACAGTTCCTGTATTGGGCCAAATGGGCGCTCGCAGTGATCATTGTCTGGATCATCACTTTACTGGTC